AGGGCGGAGGGATTTGAAGGTTTTACTGGCTGGTGTCTCCCCAGGAACCTTCCGAGGAGTGTGCAAGAAAATCGACCACTTCCCTGAGGATGCGGATTATGAGCAAGACACGGCCGAGTATCTGCTCCGTGAGTCTGTTTTCCTGCGTGTGTCAGGGCTGCGTGTGCTCCCCGGGGCCCCCCCAGGTGCCCTGGCACCCCCTCTCCATATCTCCCAGCACCTGGAGCTTCACCCAGCAGGTCCCCCCGCAGCTGGCAGGTGGCCGATGGGTCACAGCCCCCCCCAGGCTCCCTGTGCAGCGGCGGTGACCCTCCGGGTTACCCGAGCGTGGCCACGTCACGCCGCAGTAGCAGTGTTAATGGTGCATTTGTCTGGCACTCGCTGTCCCCTCGCCGCTGCGCAGCCTGAGCCCGTTGGAGTGTGAGGGCCACCGGGGACCCGGGACCCCGCAGGTTCCTGGCGCGGCACCGCAGGGGTGCCACGTTCGTGCTGGTCTCCGTGTTCCCCGAGTCTTTGCAGCCAGGCTGGGTTTGCTGGCACTCACCAGGAAAGCACGACGAGCGTCTGCCGCACGCTCTGCCAGCAGCAGCCGAGTGCCGGGAGACAGTGAAAATAGGGCTGGCGGCTCTCCTGGGAAAAACGGGGTCCTCCTGTCTCGGGGGCCAGCAGAGCCTCTGGGCAGGACCCGCACGGTTTTAACGCTGGGGGGACCTGATGCTGGGGTGAGGCTGAGCCTGCGGAGAAGAGGCACCATCCCCTGAGCACTTTGCAGACACGTGCACGAGCGAGCGCTGGGGCACTGAGGCGCAGGGTGACAGAGGCTGGACACAAACGTCGCACGCCCTGACGTGCAAAGCAACGTGGACGTGCACCGCCCGGCATGTCAGCAAGTGCGCGCGTCTGTGACAGAGTCTAAAGCCTGCACGGCAAAAGGTTCATTTGAACACCTAAATTTCCAGAGCAGTAAGAACATAAGGCCGCATGGGCACATGGCAGCCTCGGAGGTGTTGGCATCTCTAGGGTCAGAGCTGCTGGGGCTGGGAGGAATCCCTGGGGGCGAAGTGACCCCCCAGCACCCATCGCCCCTGTGCTCAGCCCCGATCCCCTGCCTGATGCAGCTGCTGCTCGTCCAGGTGTTGCTCTGAACTCCCCATTTTCTAATTCTGCAGGGACCCATCAGCTCTGCTCACCCGTCGAAGAGGGGAAGGTGTTTAATGGAATTGGTTTGCAATTTTAGTAGATTAGCGTTTAAATTCTTCTCCCACCCCCTCCCACATTAAAAATAAAAAGTCTATTTTAAAGCCCCCAGAATGGCATTTAATGGGGCTTCTCTGTATTTCTGTGCTTTTAATAAAGGCCCTGATAGAGGGATGAGAGCCCAAACCAAGGCACAGTGTATTTTCGGTGCAGCAGGTAGTGATTTGCTGCATTAATTACTCTTAACAGTCATTTTGGAAGCTGAACTTCTGATAGGCCCTGTAGAAAAGACCCTTCTTTGCGTAGCTCTCGGTCAGTGACTCCTGAGTGCGCAGAGACAGGTCCTGTGGAGCTGATCCCCTTGGGGATGGAGCCCAGCGCCGGGGTCACGGCATCACACGTGGTGGGCTCGGGGTCTTGGGCTTTTTGTTCATTTTCATAATGTTTCTCCCCTATATCAGAAAAAAGCTTTTTGTTGAACTTCAGGTGTGTTAGTTTGTAAATTCTTGACTTTTGAAGCAGCTGCGATAGTTTGGGGACCCAAGGGACACGTTCCTGATGCTTGTGGTTGGTGATACTGCTCCTTGCCAGCCTGGTGAGGTCTGGGGGGTTTCTGCATTCCCCAGGCTCCAGAGTCACGTCCGTAGCCTAAACCCGTGGGTGGTGTGTTTGATAATGGGAAGGTAAATTGCTAGTGCTGACTGTGTGACAAGGCTGGAAGAAATAATTCCTTGAAATAGCCTCGGAGAAAAAAAACCATTCAGGGTTTAAACTGTTTTTGTGACGGCAGGCCTGAATCACAGGGTTTGCAGGGCTGATGCTGGGCTCCAGAGAAATCTCAGAGCAGGAGCAGCCTGGGGACAAGCAGAGGATGCACGGGTGGGGGTGGGGGTGCTGGGTCTCCCCCCATCTCTCATGGCAGCAACCAAGCGTCATGTTGCAACAATTCTTTCTGGGCACTGGCGTTGGCACCGGAGATGCCGGCAGGCCCCGCTGCAGGAGCGATGCCGGGAGCTGACCCTGTCCCGCTCCCTGTCCCGCAGGCGCGGTGAGAGCGTCCAGCATCTTCCCCATCCTCAGTGTGGGTCTACTGTTCTTCGGGGGCCTGTGCGTGGCAGCCAGCGAGTTCTACAAGAGCAAACACAACGTCATCCTCAGTGCCGGCATCTTCTTTGTCTCTGCAGGTAGGAGCTGCCTGGCAGGGTCGGGAGTGGGGTGGCTCTCCCAGCGTGCTGGAAGTGTGGGAGGACACGGGGGAGACGGCGATGGGTTGTGGGTCCTCCTGGGCCGGTGGTGTGGTGGGATTCTGGGGTTTGTGAGCTGTCCCATCCTGGTGGAAAAATCCCCATGGCAGAGAAGAAACCAGCAGAGGTTTCTGGCAAGTGATCACCATGCTAGACAGCACTTTAAGCGTCCGCCCTGCTCTGCCATGACCAGTCTCCATGCAGGCACTGCAGCCCAGGAGGGGCTGCCGGAGCACAGCCGTCTCACTGGGGGAGCACCCGGCCCCAGGGCAGGTCTGGGGGGGCCCTGCCCTCCATCACCACCAAGCAGCGGGGTCACAGGGCCGGGCAAGGGCAGGCGCTGTGCTGGCAGGACCAGGGACCGGGCAGCAGGCAGAGGGGCTGCCGCAGTCCTACGAGGAAAATCACTCTCTCTTGAGAGGCCGTTCCTTCTGGATTACTCATTTCTCTGTGCACTGTTCCCCAACGCTTCCGCTGATTATCGTATGACAATGTCTTTGTCTCAAGGAACGGGGTCACAGGGCCGGGCAAGGGCAGGCGCTGTGCTGGCAGGACCAGGGACCGGGCAGCAGGCAGAGGGGCTGCCGCAGTCCTACGAGGAAAATCACTCTCTCTTGAGAGGCCGTTCCTTCTGGATTACTCATTTCTCTGTGCACTGTTCCCCAACGCTTCCGCTGATTATCGTATGACAATGTCTTTGTCTCAAGGAACTGCTCTATTTTGTGTTTTTCTTCTCCCTACAAAGAGACAAATTACTCTCCTTCCTTTGGCTGGCAGGAGCTGCTGATGCAGATGAGAAAACAACAGAAAGAACATAATCGATTCATTAAGTAAATCCAGGAATACATCAGCCGCTCCCAGCCCTGCGGCACAGCCCCGCGGCGTTGCTGGCGGTGCAAAAACTGCCAGGATCCCAAATAAAGCCTTCAGGCTCCACCACAAATGAAGAGATGGA